ATATATATATATATATATATATATATATACATATTGCTTATTAAATTTAATGGATGTAAATTGGAATACTTAATATTTATTCTAATTAATTCGATTTTAATCATCTTTAATCTATGAACTTGTTAATTTCTATAAGTTACATTTTCCAACAGAATAATTATCTAATATATTTAATCCAATGATTGGAATATAAAATAGATATCTAAAAGAAAAAATGGTACGACAAATATTTACGGAGTAAAAACAAATTTGAATTACAAAAAAGTGAAAAATAAAAAAATTCTTGTAAAAGTGTTAAATGCAATCGTCTAATTAATATATTACAATTATACAAGACTACTAAGCTAATTCAATGTTTTTAAATTTAATTACTAGAAAATTTAAATGTAAACGTATATTACCATCTATTGAAATTGCATTGAACAAAAAATAGTAAACTTACATGAGAAAGACTAGATTGTGAAAGCCAACGTTTACGTTTCTCAGATACCAGCCTAAAATTACTTTGACAAAAAAATTAAATTATTTATTAAATTTCATAAAAGTTGAAAGTTTAAAAAAAAAGGATTCTTAGCAACAAACGCAAAAGTCTTTTTTTCATTTTTCAAACTTTTGCATGATACTAAAAAATAAAAGAGGAAAGGTATAAATTACCTGTCTGATAATGCGGCAAAAAATACTTCGTCAGATGTTGAAAGGCAATGCATTGTTCTGCAAATTATAAAAACTTTTAAGCTAAAAAAAAAATGAAAAATTAATTGTTTAAAAAAGTTAATCAATAATTAGGAAAATAAAAGTGATCATTAATTATTGTATAAACTAATTATTAGGATAATTTGGGTTTATTTTTGAAAAAAAATAAGTTTTTTTCATAATTTTTTGCCGTTTTTTTTCAATATTATACATTGTAATTTTAAAATTTTATTCGGGTCAAATATTTTAAGTAAATTTAAGAAATAGCTTAGTTTCAACTTTTTTTAAACTTTTTTCTTTTTTTAATTAGAGAAGGAAATGAGATGATGCGAACGACTGTTCAAAAAAAAAAAACATTTAAAAACAAAGATTAAAACCAAAGATTAACCAAAGATTAAAATTCATCAATCAATTTAAATAGTTTTTTGCTATTTTATTTCGTGCAAAATAAAGAATTTATTCATATCTACCAAATAGAAAAAAAAAGAAAAAAGAAATTTATCAGGAAAAATATATCATATCGATTACTAAATGATCTTAAAGGTGTTGGTTAAAATAATTTACTCCTTTTTTTTTCTCTCTCTCTCCCTTTCTCTCTCTCTCTCTCTCTTCGTCTTTCTCAGTTATATAATTTGATGATAAACTAATTTACTTGGTAAAGGTTGCAATATCAGGTAGGCGAATATCCACCAAAACTAATAATGGCTTCTGTTGTTGATAATTAATTTCAGCAACATTTGCTGTTGTTTTAAAAATCTGAAAAAAAAATTATGACTTTTTCCAAAAAAAAATAATTTCAAAATTAAAATGAATAAGAATGGAAAAAAGAAAATAAAATAAAAAAAAAAGAAAAACAAAAGAAATTAACATACTTGCCATCCATTTGAACGAAGACTTTCAATAAAAAGACAATCAATTGGTTGACGATTTGCTGTCACGAACATTGCCTGCACAGAATATAATATTTATCTCATTTTTTAGTTTTTTATATTTTCGTTTAAATATTATTTAAATGTCTGGACTAAGCAAAACTAAGCTAGGCTAAATTAAGCTAATGATAAGCTAGACCAAATTATTCATATTACACATAAAGATTTGCTATATTTCTTTCAAATAATGCAATAATTCTTTTGATGTGGGAAAATTTTCTTTGTTATGCTAATATAGGTAATAGATTGTTTACGTGAACAGGTATATATGATCCATAAAAGCTGTACACGTAAAGAAACACGTAAATAAGCAATAAAATAATAAAATAAATGAGATATAAGAAATGATATATTTTATTGAAATTATTCTGTAAAAACCTCATTTACATTATGAATTGATAACGTTATCATACGTTTCATTTCAATTTTTAAATCTCAAATCATGTCATTTATCGCTTGTTATTACTTATCCATGTATATAAATATGCCCAATTAATTTAATTTTTAATCGATTTTTTTCATATTCAAATTATTGGATTTGATTTAAAATTTAGCAAGACTAATTAGATTATCACTACTTATTATTAGTTGGATTTTATGATAACTTACATGCTAATTATATGGGTGAATGTTTGCTTTAAGAAAAGGAATAAAACTTACTCATTTACAAGTATATATTTACACTTTATGTTACTTAATTTATGTCATTCATGTCATTTAAATTATTCCGATGTTATTTATGAAGAGAAAGGACGATTAATGTTCAAGAAAAATCCAAGAAATGTTAAGATAAAATTTAAAAAAAAAAAAAAAACTGAAATGAACTTAAAAAAAATTGAGCAAAAGAAAGAGAAATCTCTTTTCT